AGGTGGGGCTGCCAGGCAGAGAGACTATATAGAAGGAGAGAAGAGTGAAAAGGGGGAGAGAGAAAAGGGGAAGGAGAAGAGGATGCAAGGGGCAGCCACCCAGTCACCAAGCCAGCAACAGAGTAAGAAGTAAAGAAAGACATATAGAATAGACAAAAGTAAAAACCCAGAGGCAAAAGGTAGACAGGCTAAATTAAATTAAGAAAAGCTGGCTAGAAACAAGCCAAGCTAAAAGCCAGGCATTCATAAGTAGAAATAAGTCTCTGTGTATTTATTTGGGAGCTGGGTGGCTGGGCCCCAGAGATCAAAGAGTAAAAAAAAAAACCAACAACACACACCTGCAATCACAGCACCCATGAGGCTGAGGCAGGACTGAAAATCTGAAGCCAGCCTGAGTTACATAATGAGTTACATATCTCAAAAAATATAATTCATACAATTATATATAGTACATATTTGATAATTACAATGACTGTATTACTAGTTTATTTATTTACTATGCTACTCTTTTTTGAGGGGGGTTACAAGACAGGGTTTCTCTGTGTAACAGAGTCCTGGCTGTCCTGGAACTTACTTTGTAGACCAGGCTGGCCTCGAACTCACAGAGATCCTCCTGCCTCTGTCTCCTAAGTGCTGGGATTAAAGGTATGTGCCACCATGTTGTACTATAAAATAGTATGCCAGGCCTATGAGGTAGCTTAGTGGGTAAAGATACTTGCCAGTTTGACCACTGGAACTCATAAGGTGGAAAGAGAGAACCAATTACAAGTTATCCTCTTACTTCCACATGCATACTGTGGCAGTACCAATACACACACACACACACACACACACACACACACACACACACACACACACACAAATATACATAAATAAATAATGTTAAAAAACAAAACCGTATGCTATGTTAGTCTAGCACAGTGATTCTCAACCTTCCTAGCTGTGAGCCTCTAATATAGTTAGTTCCTCACGTTGTGGTGACTCTAAACATAAAATGTTTTCACTGCTACTTCATAACTGTAATTTTGCTACTATTATGAATCATAATATAAATATCTGATATGCAGGATATCTGATATGTGACCCCTGTGAAAGGGTCATTCAACCCTCCACAAAGGGACTGCAATGCACAGGTTGAGAACCACTGCTCTAGCAGCTCAATCTACCAGCAGCCACATATATCTCATTTATCTGGTTTCTTGACTGTATCATTTTGCCTTGTGTTTGATTTAATCTTGTGTTGCTTTGTTCATTGCAGCTGTAGAAGCAACAGGCTATGCCATATCATATAGCCTAGGTACATAAACAATGCTGTATGATGGTCCCCCAATAACAAAATCACTTAAAGAGACTGTTAATCCACTTTCCATCACTGTGATAAAATCATGAGATAACTTAAAAAGACCAGAGGTTCATACTGGCTCTAGTTTCATAGATTTCAGTCTATGAATATATGGCTCTATTGTTTCTGCTGCCTCCCCCCATGAGACACATCATGGCGAGGAACATGTGCTAGCACAAAGTTGCTCACCTCGTGGAAATCAGGAAGTAGTGACAAAAAGGAGCTATGAGCAAAATATATTCTTTAAAAGCAAAACATTTCTCCTGTGATCTACTTCCTAATGGGCTCCACCTCCTAAAGTCTACCACCTCCCAATAGCCCAATAAGTTTTGAATCCATCAGTGGATTAATCAACTGATGAAGATATAGCCTTAAGTGATCTAATCACCTCTTTCCTTTGAATAGGAACCATGAGCTTGAGGGTAAATATCAAGTGTAAACACTAACAGGTATTCCCCCCCCCCAGATTTTGTATTCATGGATAAGCAATAAATAACTACAACTGCCTTATTATTCTCCCTATAATTGTTTGTTTGGGGGGTTAGTGGTAGAGATACCCAGGGCTTGCACATGCTCAGCAAGTATTCTACCATGGAGCTTCACTCCCAAGTAACTATGCATTTAACGGGATGCTTTCCTCATTTTACCCAGTGCTTGTGTTTTGTAGTAGGAGAGTTTTCATATGATGCAAACTGATATATGGCCAAATAAAGACATCCTATAGAAGCCTAGAGAGTATGTAAACATTAACAAAGAGTCTCAGCTTCCCATATCATCTTATGTCAGAACCAAGCTGTTTTGGAAGATCCACACCCCTCCAGGAGATTCTAATGTATATCTGAAACATGAATCTAACTAGTCTTAATAAAAAACAGGAGTTGCCGGGCGTTGGTGGCGCACGCCTTTAATCCCAGCACTCGGGAGGCAGAGCCAGGCGGATCTCTGTGAGTTCAAGGCCAGCCTGGACTACCAA